TGCGGCTACGCGGGCTGCGGCAAGACCTACACGAAGAGCTCGCACCTCAAGGCGCACCTGCGCACCCACACCGGCGAGAAGCCCTACCGCTGCGACTGGGACGGCTGCGAGTGGAAGTTCGCCCGCTCCGACGAGCTGACCCGGCACTACCGCAAGCACACGGGCCTGCGCCCCTTCCGGTGCCCGCAGTGCGACCGCGCCTTCTCCAGGTCGGACCACCTGGCCTTGCACACGAAGCGGCACTTTTAACCTCCGTGGACACGACCGGGACCGAACCTTTCACACCGTCCTCCACAGGGGAGGAGCCCGGCGGGCAGGTACTGCAGTCCTGGCCGAGTTCCCAGCAGGTCAGCTTGTGGGTGGATAATCGGGAGAAAGGAGAGATCCAAAAGACAAAAAAAAAAAAAAAAAAAAAAAAAAAACTTGTGGAAACCGGATCTTCACTCATTCCGATTCTGAGTCCACTCGAAAGTGCCCGGACTTACAAAATGCCACGGGAGAGACTGGAAGTTGTTGTGGCCAACAGGGTATCTTTGAGTTGGGAAGTTGGGGAAGAGCCGGATTTTGTGTTTTGAGACAGGGTCTCGCTTGCTATTGGTCCAGGCTGGCTTTGAACTCACTTTGTAGCCCACTCTGGCCTCACAGTGATCCTCCTGCCTCAGCCTCCCTGAGTGCTGGGACTGCTACAGGTGTGCACTACCACACCCAGCTAATGTTTTGTGGAGTTTGTATTTTTCTCAAGGTGAGAAATAAGCTCTAAATAAACTTATAATATTTTATCTGAAAATTTTAAGCCATATTGTATCCTTATGACTTTGCTGTGTACTCTTAGAAAAATGGGCTCTTTGGCAATCCCCTTCCAGGTCCCTCCTGTCTCAGGAACTATCTCAAAACTTCCTACTCTTAACCTCTATTTCTTAGAATTCATTCTTTGATTTCAGGGGACACAAACTCTGCATATCTGACACCCAGCAGGTTGAGAGTTACATTTTCCCTACGTCCATGGGGTTCTAGGCGTGCACCATCACATCAGCTTGCCTTCATGTGCCTTTTTCTTTGTACCAGGAATTGAATTGGGGTCCTTGTGCTTGCCAGGCAGTGCAGAACCAGAGCTAAATCCCCAGCCCACCATATGTGTTTTTTTTGTTTGTTGGTTGGTTGGTTTTTTGAGACAGGGTCTCACTGTATAGTTGAGGCTGACCTGGAACTCACTATGTAGCCCAGGCTGGTCTCGAACTCACCGCGATCCTCCTGCCTCAGCCTCCTGAGTGCTGGGATTACAGGTGTGCGCCACCACGCTGGGCCCCACCATATATTTTAATACATAATTTTGAGAGAGGAAATCACTCCATATGGCATTGGGCAGCTATGGGTTAACTGCGTCATTAGGCAACTATGGGTTAACTAGGTAACTCTGTTCTTTGTAGAGTGTACCTGAGTAGCCACAACAACTTCTGTAATCTGTCACCAAAGGAACCTAACGGACTCAAAGTCCTGCCAGAACCTTTTGCTCCCCCGCCGCCCCGCCTCCACTGCTCTGCTCTGTGTAAATCCTGCTTGCTGTATCCCTAGGGAAACTCCAGTGGATTTGAGCCTCTATGTGTAAAAGGAGGTCTACAAGGAATTACTTCTGTTCAGGACTCTCAAGACAGGAATCACTCGCTGAGCTACTGGCAACATTAAAAGCTGCTTTTTGCTCCTATCTTTGTGTTCAAGAGTTATCTGTGCTGGTGTCCTCACTGTTTCCTGCTTCACATTTAGATTTTTTCAACCATTATTGCTTCTTGGCCTTTTGGCTAAGATCAAAGTGTAGATTTTTCAACTAGAATGAATGTATTATACATTCAAAAATTAAGAGGAATACTTAATTAGGAACAGGCAAATCCTATTTATAGTGTCAAGGAACTAAACTACATTTCATGCTCTGCCTTGCATGTACTGGATCTTCAACAATTCGTTGAGGTACTGTATTAATGTGAAGATTCCAGGTTTAAGGTGCTGTGATAGGTCAGACCTCAAGGGCCTGGCTGGCCGAGGTGGCCAAGCCGGCTGAGACTGGCTAGGGAGAGATGGAAGGTAGCACCGGGCCAACAGGGGTGTGATTATAATGAACATGAAACCTGCTTTCCTAATGTAAAAAACTGCACTCTTACAGTTAGTAATGATAAAAGAAAAATTGGGGTGGGACACGCCTGTAACAGGAGGCTGAGACAGGAAGAGCACCTAGGCTTTGAGGCCAGCCTGGACTACATATCAAGGCCCTGCCTCAAAAAAAAAAAAAAAAAAAAG